AGCTTTTTAATTGAAGAATTTGTCTATATACATATACAATGGATTTTTTCTGCCATAAATTGGCAGAATTATTCTTTTAAAAACTTTTTATTAATTAAAATTAATATGTTTGATCAAATTAAATTTATTGTGTATATATATGATTAATAGGATGAAAATGATAGATTAGCAAAAATAACAAGTGGGAGTAGTTGCACTCTGAAATGTTGCAAAGTTGAAGCATAGTTTGATATATAGTCATAAAAAACCGACAGAGAGATGGTTTTCATTGTACTTAAAATATAAGTTTAGTTAATGAAATTGTGGGCATATTTTCTATCTTGCATCGCTCTACGTAGGAAATAGGGCGGCCACGTTTTAACCTAAAAGTCAGGGTTTCTCGTTGGACCATGTTATGAGTGTCACACATCGATAGGGAGGCCAATTACCCAAAACCATCTTAAGAATTTGGAAAAGGGAACGACCTCATCGAGAAAGCTTTGAGGGTAGTCCCCATTTTCAACTTTGTAGATTGCGTTTTTTTCTTTCTTTTGAATACACCATTGTCCACTTGCTTTATTAATGCAACCATGCATTCTCTAGAAGAAAATTAAGTAAATGACCATATATCAACGAACTTACCCACCCTACCTCTTTTCATCCTATTCCTACCTTTTAACTTAATTACATATATACCATGCACATTTTTACAAGCCATACATGACTTTTTATATAAAACATAGCTAGCTATAGTTCTTGTTTCAATTCATAATTACAGTTTATGAGAATGACATGTTCTTAATTAACTTTGACATTGATATATACATATAAATGCACTATGACACTTCCTCTCGATCGAGGATTGGCATACTTTCAGTCAAGAGTATGTTGTTCACTTGTACGTGATGACTATTTATTCAACGAATATAATTAAACATGAAGTTTCCCTTGGTTTTTAATTGTATTATTTGGTTATCTCAAACTATCTCTTTACTAATCGGTAGTTATTGAAAGACTAAATTACCAACACACCTAACATTAAAGATAACAACTCTCATTGATGTATTTTCTTTCATAATCAAACCCAATATGCTCCTCTCATGAGGGACCTAATTCTTTTGCAAATGACATATATTAATTTTTTTTTTAGTCTTTTCACATACAAATATATATATATATATATATATATATATATATAAGGAGAGATCCGTTTATTCCAAGAGTAAGTCTATCTAGACTTACCCTGTTAAATAACTCATGTTCTACATCAAATTTTAACGATTCAATCGTTAAATTTAAAGTTCATAATGCATAGATTGAGTTTGCAAATTTTTAAAAAAATTGAAAATCATTTGATTTTTCATTTTATTAATTCAAATTGACGAATAACCATAAAATTATTTTATGTATTGATTTAAATTAATGAAACGAAATATCAAATCATTTTTAATTTTTTTTTAAATTTACAAATTTGATCTATGCATTAAGAACTTTAAATTTAACGGTTGGATCGTTGAAATTTGATGTAAAATATGAGTTATTGAACGGAGTAAATTTAGGTAGACTTACTTCTAGAATAAACTGATCACTATATATATATAATGTGAAGTTTAATAAATAAAAAATGTAACAGTATTACTAGTATGCCTGATAAAATTGTAACTTAAATGTGTTTTTCCCCTTTAATTATATAATTTTCTCATTTTGGTCTCACTTTTTTTTTAATTTTAATTTAATTATAGTATTTTCTCTCTCTCTCTTCAAATAGTTCATCTGTTAGTCTTTCGTTTGTTTTTTCTATGTGTCTCTTAAGAATAAAAGGAATCAATTGAAAAATTGGTGATGGTTTTTAGAGAGACTAAATAGACAACTTGGAAATGACACTTCACAAATAAAAAATACAGATGACTAATATAATTATATAAGAGAAAATAATTACGAGTTTTCAATTATAATTAACTTTAAAAATAAGAGAGTAATTAAGTTCGATCTTTATTGACGTAAAATTTTTTTTTGATTGCATGACAATACAGGTTGAATTCCATAACATTTAAATAAAAGGAAATCACAAAGTTAGAAGATCAAGAAAAACAGCCAAATGGCTTCTTCATTAAATTCGGTGTCAATGAAATGAAATGCCATCGAACACATTTTCTCTCTTGGAAAGTGGTTATGGACATAAATATATAGGACCAACAAAGACATACTCGTTGAGGAGAGGCACTACGGATTAAAATGAAGTAAAGTGCATAAGATGTGGTATGTTGCTGAAAGCTCAAATTAAACATCTTTTCATTGAGAGGGGTTGGAATTAACTATTAAGTCTGTGATGGCAAGAAATCAATGCATCTTTTTCTGCCAAGTCAAATTCAATTCGATGGAGGAATGAGTGTAACTTTTGGAGTTGGCTATCGAAAAGAATGAACATATTCAGATACTCCTTTTGCTAGAGTTTAAAATTTAAATCCACGAGCTTACTTATATGTCGCAAAATGATAGTAAGGCATCAACTGTTGAGAGGCTTAGGCAGAATCCAGTAAAAGATAGATGTAATACAAAGGCTAGTGGGTCACTCTAATTTCTATGTTCGAAGATGGGCTTATAGTCGGGCTTAAAAACAAAGGAAAGTGGAACAATTTCTATATTCAATATTTTTTAGATTGATTAAATTGGGCTTATCGTATTTAGGGGAAGGCTACCATATAGATCATAATGACCCAATTTAACATATAATAAAAAGGACGCCCTTATGACATTTTTTAATGTTCTGATGCCCTCATGACATTTTTAACGTTTTCTAAAACATGATGATATCTTTGTATTTGAGTACCACTTGCACTCATCATATTCAATAAATTCTCAAGAACTTTTGCTTTTAAAAAAAACTGAACAAAATGTGTTTTCAAAAAGGAATAAAATCACATTTAAACTAAAATTGTTGCCAATACATTCTAGCATCCAATCAGTTTTAATCTATTAGGCAGATAATTAATTTCGAACCCAGCCAGAAACAAGGATGGTTTTTTTTATTTTTATTTTTTTTATTACTTTAAATGCATTGATTTAACAGACTCGATAAATGTGTTACATTTCTTTTCATTGTAGATTTTTTGCCTCAAGTAGCCTTTAAATAGAGTTCTTCCAAGCATGAGGTAAGTCATCTATACCGTTATAAAGTTAGTCAAACTTGTTCAGAAGTTTTTTGGGTTGTCACTTTCAATTTAGAAACAGTTTGACTAATTATATTTATGGAATCCATTTTCTAATGATTATGAATCCATTATTTTATTTTTCTTGTACATAATTCCAGGATGGTAGCCTAAGGAGTTTCAGGATTCTCTCTAGATAAATCTTTGACAATAATCGACATCTATTAGGATTTGTGCTTCTTGTAGTTCTGAACTTTGTTATGCTCTCGCCTCTCATGGACCTGCAATGTATTCCAATAAATTTTTATATTCATTGCTTTTGCATTATTTGCCTCAATACAAGTCATATGTATTTGATAATATCCTTTTAGAGTAATTATAAACTTTGGTTTGACTTTTGAGCATTCTTCTCCACTGCAACATCTCCTCTGCTTCTAATCTAAAACATTGATATTTCTTTTGCAACATTTGTTTAGATTATAGCTACCAATGGAACTTTTGATTACAAGTAGTTTCTGAGGTTATTACACTTTAATATTCTTCTACTTAAATTCTAGCCTCTAATATTTCTTTGCTTCTTATTAATTATATGCAGTTTCTGATCTTTTGAAAGCATGTATTGAAATTTATATGCTCATTGAAGTTGTCATTCACATGTTATGCTTCTAGACACTTGCGTATAGTTATTCCTGCTACGTGATAAGAAATCTTGAAATCTTGTATTTAATGTAAAAGCTTTAGGGTTATTTAGCAGCCACAGGTCATAAATTAAAATGGACTCAGCAATTAGAACACATGCGTGGAACGAATCAAAGTTGATGTTCGTGGCTGCATCGAATCAAGTCAACCCTTCATTTGGTGGGAAGGGCACTAAATACGTTGGCCCTGCGCTTAATGCGTTCCCATGTTCAACTCACTGTTGTCTACAATATCACTCCATCTTTTTTCAACTTATCTATATGCATAAAACTGTACGTTGATATTCATTTGTTTGTAACAATTTTGTACATATTGTATATAAAAGCATTAAATCAACTTGCGTATATATTATGGTTAAGTATCTGGCACATAATAACCCATTTGAGGCCAAGTATATAGATGCATGCTATCTTCTTTACTCTGCAACACGAAATAATTTATGCTGCCTAAGTTTAAAGTGTATATTCCTTATACATATATATATATATATATATATATATTAAACGGAGTTCGAAAATTAAGTTAGTGCAAAAAACAGAGAACGAACCAGAGCTATTTGTTTAAACAAAGTAACATGTTCTCTCGTCTCTAGTTTTTGTCTTATTTACCTCCTTTTATATAAACTAGAAAATTATTGACCATTTTATTCAATTTATGTCATTCGTGGCCAAAAGCCTGCAGGCGGATAATCATATCCAAATTCACGAGGCCTGTCCTGTAGCTTATGTCAACACCCCACTTCCACCTTAACAAATGCTCCATTAACAGTCCAGAATTATTCAACAAGTTATTGTATATACCAATAAGATATGTTGTCAAGGTTGGATTTCTAACTGTGTATATAAAAAAATATCTTGAGAAAGATTAAATTTATTTTTATAATTAGTCTCTAATTATAAATTAGAAAATACCCTCAATAAAAAAAAATGTATTATAGTATTGGTGAATTAGTTGTGTGTACTTTGTCCCATACTGAGTTATATATAGTAAAAATATAAGAATAATTAAATGATACAAGATAAAAATTTAAAAGTAAAATAGGTATATAATATGCGAAATATGGATTTAGATTCCCATGAAGGAAGTGACATTGGATTGGATCCCACTTATTCGGGAAATTCGTCCTTATGGTATGCTATAAAAGGACTTGTCCCTTGGTCCTATAATGTATACTCCAACATTAAAGAACAAAACAAAATGAGATCCTTTTCCTTCCTCTTCACCTTATTCATTTCCTCCATTGCTCTTGTATCCTCTGCAGCTTTTGGAGGTCAAGCATGGACACCCGTCTCTTCTCTCATCACAAAAACTCTTTTCGACACCTTTTTCCTACACAAAGATGACACTGCATGCCCTGCCAAAGATTTCTACACGTACGACTCCTTCATTCGTGCATCCAAATTGTTCCCGGCATTTGGCAGCACCGGTTGTTTAGCCACACGCAAGCGTGAGATTGCTGCATTTCTGGCTCAAATTTCCCACGAAACCACGGGTGGCTGGGCCACTGCACCTGACGGCCCATTTGCTTGGGGCTTGTGCTTCAAGGAAGAAATTAATCCTCAGAGTAATTACTGTGATTCCACTAACACCCAATGGCCTTGCTTCCCTGGCAAAACTTACAAGGGACGAGGACCCATTCAACTTTCTTGGTATATATATTTTTACATGCACTTTGCTTATTTTCTTCCTTATTAATTCCATACATTCTTTCTTAACCAGGATCAATTATTTTAATTTGCAGGAACTATAACTATGGTCCAGCAGGGAAGGCGTTGGGATTCGATGGGCTCAAGAACCCTGAGATTGTGGCCAACAATTCTGTGATTGCTTTCAAAACTGCTTTGTGGTTTTGGATGACAGAGCAAAAGCCAAAACCTTCTTGCCACGAAGTGATGGTTGGAACATATGAGCCAACAGAAGCTGACATAGCAGCGAACCGAACACTTGGTTATGGCTTAGTGACTAACATAATCAATGGTGGACTTGAATGTGGTATTCCTGATGATGCACGAGTGAATGATCGGATTGGGTTTTTTCAAAGATATACAAAGTTATTGAACGTGGACACTGGACCTGACTTGGATTGTGCAAATCAGAAACCCTTCTAACTCTTCCGTCATGTCTATTTATTTTACTCTTCCCAGACTCTAATAATGTATTGAATCAAAGCATATATATACCTGCTTCATGGAATTCTCCTTATGTACGCTACCACAAGTTGACAAATATAAACTTTTATATTCTTCTTTATCGTGTAGTGCCACCCTTAGGAAAATGTTTATTGAAAAATATATTTATACAAGAGAGAGAGCGAGACTCGAGAGAACAAATACAAACACAAGTACGTGATAAGTGATGGAGAAAGCTAAATATAAAATATATGTTACAGAAATGTCTGATTGTGTAACTAGTTCTCCAAAGCTTAGACGAGCAAGTAGTACCAGATTAATATAAACAAAGAAAAAGGGATAAAATAAGAAATGGAAGTGATCATGTCATTCTTCATTATATATTTCTCCATCTTGTATGTGTGAAATTGACTCTTCTAATCATCTGAATTTATCCTACCACCACTTCTATCTTTTTTTAGTTAGATTCTTACACTCCTATTATTTTTAATATGTGATTTTGCTTTTTCTATTTTCAATTGTGTATTCAGTATCCTAATTTTTTTAAAATTTAGGGATTTTAATATTTTCATTAACTGACCATGGACTCTGATTTGATAATAATGTAAGAAACCCCGGGTGTACAATTATTTTCAACTGTTAAAGTTTATCTTTCACAAAGACTACACGTTTGATCGAAATAATCACAATTTAAACAAAATCGAACTAGATAATAATAAAATAATGTTTTTTATTTATAAGTATCTATAACATATTAATTTGATATACACACTTTTTAAAACCATTTTATTCTTATCTGTTTTTAAAATAACTTTATCTTTAAAGTTTTAAATAATAAAAAAAAATATTAAAATTAATCATAATTATAATAATAAGATTTAAATTCAAGATTTTGAGATTTAAAGATAAAAAATAATATTAATTAATTTAATAAATATTGATAATTTTTTAAATAAATTAAATTAAATATAAAAATATAAAATATCCCAACTTCACTAATTATAATACATATAATAAAATTTAAATTTAAGACTCTCAGCATAATAATAAATAATGTGGCATAATATAAAGAGCGGAAAAAATGAGATTAAAAAGGATTGTATAGCGGCATGAATATATTTTTAAAGGGCGGTAGGAGTGTATCCTTCTGTCTGGTTTTAACATTTACAAGTTATATTTGTTACTTTTAAATTCTGACATCTTTTTAGTATTGCTTTTAACCTTTTAGTCCTTATTTTAAGTGCTTTGCACTTGTATATTATCAAAGTATTGGTTTTAATATTTACATTCTTTTTTGTTACTTTTAAATTCTGACATCCTTTTAGTATTGGTTTTAACTTTTTAGTCCTTTCTTTTTTTAAGTGCTTCGCACTTGTATATTATCAAAGTATTTGATCTGGCTCTGCCCATAACATAATGCATGTGACATTACTCTATTTCTAGGAAAAAAAAAAAAAAAAAAAAAAGAAAAA